TATTTCTGCAGCCATTTCTTATCACAAATTCTCATATTCTCATACTTCTTTCCTTAACAAAGTGTCCCACACTTTTGAACCAAGGAATTTTCATGAAGCCGCATGCATGCTTAAGTGGCCAGATGTTATGACTAAAGAGCTTCAAGCTCTGAATGACAACCAGACATGGAGTGTGGTGGATCTTCCAAATGGCAAGAAGGTCGTGGGAAGTAGGTGGATATATAAGACCAAATTCAACTCCAATGGAAGCATTGAAAGACACAAGGCACAGTTAGTAGCTCAAGGCTTTACTTAAACCTATGGCATTGACTATAAGGAGACTTTTGCTCCTGTTGCTAAAATGAACACAGTGAGGGTATTGTTGACTATGGCAGTCAATAATGCATGGCCCTTATTCCAAATGGATGTGAATAATGCATATCTTCATGGGGATCTTGAAGAAGAAGTGTACATGAAGTTGCCTCCTAGTCATCCAAGAGAAAATGAACCCAACAAGGTCTGCAGACTTCACAAAGCCATATATGGTCTTAAACAATCCCCTCGAGCTTGGTATTCAAAGCTTAGTTCAGTCCTTGAAGCTGCAGGGTTCAAAAGGAGTTATGCTGACTCTTCTTTGTTTGTTCGAAGTAGTATTGCTGGAAAATTGGTTGTGCTTATATATGTTGACGACCTAATTATTACAGGTGACAATATAGGTGAAATCAAGACGCTTAGGCAGTCACTTCACAAAAAATTTGCCATTAAAGACTTGGGGCCCTTGAAATACTTTCTTGGAATTGAGGTGGCTACCTCTTCAAAGGGATTGTTCTTGAATCAAAGAAAGTATGTTCTCGATCTTAGAAGATGAAGCTAACATGATGGAATGTAAACCAGCTTGGACACCCTTAGCTAGCAAACTTCAATGGCATGAAAAAGGTGAACCTCTCTCCGACCCTAGTGTTTATTAGCGAATGGTTGGGAAACTTATTTATCTCACCATTACTAGGCCTGATATCTCATATTTAGTTAGCCTAGCCAGTCAGTTCATGCACTCTCCTACTCTAGTTCACTGGGAAATTGTCAAGAGAATACTTCAATATCTCAAAGGCTCAGTAGGAAGGGGGATAATTATGAAGAACAATAGATCAAATCACATCTTGGCCTACACAGATGCTGACTGGGCTAGAAATGCCCTTGATCGAAAATCCACAATAGGTTTTTGCGCATTTGTTGGAGAGAACCTTGTCACTTGGAAGAGCAAGAAACAAATTATTATTGCTCGATCTAGTGCCGAAGCTAAGTATAGGGCTATGGTAGCAACAGCTTGTGAACTCATATGGTTGAAAGGTCTTCTTTCCGATCTCGGATTCACAAGCATGGCACCTATGTCCTTGTATTGTGATAACCAAGCTGCCATGCACATTGCCTCCAATCCAGTATTCCATGAAAGGACCAAACATATTGAAGTTGACGGCCATTATATTCGTGCTCAAGTTCAATCCAAGGTGATAGACACCGTGTTCACACGCAGCCACGATCAACTTGCTGATTTATTTACAAAAGCACTAGACTCTACTCAGTTTCAACGTTTATTGTGCAAGCTTGGATCAATCAATCCCCTTGATCCAGCTTGAGGGGGTGTATTGAAACCGATTTGTATGGATGGGTTGTATGTATGAGTTGTCATCCTCACTTTAGTTAAGTCATAGGCTAAAGTCACTTTCCATAGCTTCTTATTCACCTTACATCAACCTCACTTTCCATAGCTTGTCATTCACCTTACATTAACCTTTCCATAGCTTGTCATTCACCTTATCATTCACCTTACATCAACCTCACCTTCCATAGCTTGTCATTCACCTTACATCAACCTTTCCATAGCTTGTCATTCACCTTACATCAACCTTTCTTAGTTGCTTGTAAAAGCTTCTTTACTTGTAATTTGGTTTTTGCTTTTCCACTTGTTAGGGCAGATTTTAGGGATTGTGTTTGTGTAGTTATCCTACAATCTATTGTAGCTTTCTTTTGGCTCTCTATAAGAGTTGCCTTCACTCTCTTGTAACATTCATAATGAAATATACAACAAATATTGAAACCAAAACTCAACATTTTACATAACCTTACATGTATGAATTAACCAATTGCAGGGACCCTGGTAACAATGCCATGTTTATTGACCCAAACTCGAACCCCATCATATCGAAAATCCGTAGTGACAAACATTCCTTCTTTCACAATCACAGCGTTGACTAAACGATTCTCACTCTCAATTGTTGCCTCCGCCTCCTTCCCCTTGGCTCCGACAAGCTCGGGCCATGTATCCTTCCCTTCACATTCAAATGACATCCTAGCAAATCGCCTTTGTTTTATCTAGAGTACTAGCTAGTTTGGCCCTCTGTATGTAGTATTGCTTTGTGATGTATTTGGGTGGGGAAGAGAAGTGTACTTATATTGGTAACATTTAATGGATAGTAGTTGGTTGTTATTGACTTTGTTTGGTGTTACGTAGGCCGAAAGTTAATATGAATTGTTTTAAAATGTAATGTGTTTACAAACCATACCGCCAAGATTGTGTAGTCTATCTTTACGATCTGGATGAGCATGCATGTACTCGTTAAGAAGCAAAACGAGGAATGATATAATTTTGGAGTTCAACAACATATTCAAAGTCAATACTTAATCTTGTTGCAGGCCAAAGAAAATAAGTGGGATGCTACTAACCTTCTCACTTGAACTTTTTCGGCTCTTTTACTCATTCTACAATGTTATTTGATAATCGGAATTGTTCACTTTTTAAATCACCCTTTAAAAAAATCAACCAAATTAGAAACTAGGGATTAATTGCGTCCAAATTAATGTTTAAGTGAAAAACATGGTTCATCTATTTATTAGATAACAATTAGATGACTAAACGATTTCGAATTTAGTTTAACTTTTTGTATAGATGATTTTTAAATGGTGATCTAAAAAATTGATAGTTCAGATCATTAAGCAACACTACAGTATGAGAAGAAAAGTGAATAAGGTAGAACGAGAAAGTCTAAATAACAAGGTTGCTAGCATTTGTCAAAGAGTAAAATTGAAAGTCAACTTTGTTGAGTACAGCAATAATGTATATTATATATGTGTGTGTGACTTAGCTAGTGTACAGAAAAGTAAATTGTTTCTTGAATCTCAAGAAATCTTGTTTGTACGGTACACGTACTAAGATGATAAGTGTTATTGACAATATCTGAAAGGTTATAAAAAACAAATATTGGAATTTCATCTTTCATTATAATATCCACCCTCCTCTGGTTGTGAAAAGCTTCTTACGCTCATCAGACTTCGGCCCCTCCCAACCCCCCAAAAACCTTTGTATCTTCTTCATCAGTTTAGGCTAAATATTCAGATGCATAGTAGCAAACTCTACAGGCACTGTTATACTTTTTAAAAGTAGTTATTATTAATAAGTTAGGGAGAAGAATTCGCATATGCAGGAAATGGTGACCAGTCGAATAGCTCAGACAGTTGGGTCGCGTGGAGCAACCGGTCGGCCATCCAATGGTAACCGGTCCAGTAGTAGATGGAGGCATGGGAGTTAGAGTTGCACTGACTGGTAGGCTTTAGCCCCCAAGCTTGGTTCTTTTTGGATTCCTACTTGTGATATGATTCCTCGTTTTATTCCTAATCCAATCCACGTAACTCAAAAAAAAATCTTATATGTAAGTGCTTAGAAACCCTAATCATGAGTGAGAGTGAGGAAACACTGAGCGCTTGTAATTGTTTCCCTATCTAACATCTGGTAGCTAGCAAAACCTCAGGCGTTCGTTGATCATATCGAATTAAATCTCGCAAATTCATGTTTGTGTGATTGGTTTACTTTTATGTTTTTCGATTGCATCTCTATTGTTTCACACTTGTTCTTTAGAGGGGATCAAGGATCAGATTAAGTTCCTAACTATTCTTCAAGTCGAGTGCAAATCAACACACCACTAATCACAATCCTAACAAATAATTCTTTTTAACTGGATATTTATTCACTAAGTCTACTAATTTATGTCAAACCCAGTTTCGCCAGCATCAATTAGCCAGACGACTCATATTAATTACCGATGCAAATAGCACATGAACAACCGATAGCCTAAAAACCAATACCAAATCACAGACAGCCCATTATCTTACTTTCAAATTCCAGATAAACACAGTAAGAACCCAACACCAACCAATTAATCCCCACCACTTAGATCAAACATGTCAAGATATGTCATCAATTTGATAACACTACCAATTAATTAGTCATGCTTAAAAACCCAACATCAGATCACATACAGCCCATTATCTTACTTTCAAATTCCAGATAAACACAGTAAGAACCCAACACCAACCAATTAATCCCCACCACTTAGATCAAAGATGTCAAGACTCGGGGCTTCTTTGTATGTTAAGGGCCCAAAAGTCTTTTTAGATGCTTAAATTGTATCCTTATGCAAAATTCAAACTTATAATCAAATTGTATCCTTGTGCAAAGTTAAAACTTATAATCAAACCCATACGATGAAAAGAGTTTAGTTCTATAATGTATTAAACATAGTTCTAACCTAAATCGTTCATAATTCATTCAGGTTCAAGGGCAGACGAAATTATGTGAAAGATGTGGGCATGACTTGATTGAAATTGATTGGGTCACACAAATTTGGGCATAATCAAACTCATCCTCCTCAAGCAATTTCAAACATGCCCGTAAGTTTGTATATTGGTTTTCAAGTGACGGGTTGATTTGAGAAACCTTCAAATGTAATAATTGGTGTGTGGTATTATTTTTCTTTTGACTTGAAAGACCCGACAAGGTTTGAGGACTCGATGGCAGTGTGGTAGGGTGTGTGCATGTAAGGATGACGTGATCCTCCGAATATATGTTCTTAATTTATACTTTGATGTAGTTGAACAGAGAGAAAAACAAAAGAGAGAACCAAGACTATTTCAATCCTACATACTGAGCTTCATATAGGATCGTAAACCGAAGAAAAATAAATGACTGGTTTCAATACAATGCATGGAGAATACTACAACTCCTTTTTTGCATTATAGAAAGTACAAACAGAAGATTACAAGAGAGCCCAATATATAATTTGGATATAATTAACCAATTACAAGTTCCCTGGTAACAAAGCCATCTGTATCGAACCAAACTCGAACCCTATCAGCTACACATCGGAAATCTGCTGGTAAAATGGTTCCTTCTACCACGATTTCAATGTTGACAGTGGAATTCTCCCTCTTAATTGTTGCCTCCGCAACCATACCCTCGGCTACTAACAGCTCAGGCCATACATACTTACCTACATTAATTGAATATGAATTAAGTAATTAGACTGAAATATATTGTACTAATTACATGCATTCGCACACACCTGTATAACTTAAACTTGTTCCATACGTACCTTCAGTACCCTCACATGGATCAGATGCCATCCTCGGTCGCTTTTCGTTTGAGTGCTCATCTTATCTCTGTTGTAAGATATATTGTTTGTGATGTATTGGCTTGAGGAAGAGGAAGAGAGAGGTGCATATTTTATAGTAGTGCATTATTGACTGTATATTTGGATGTTAGTAGTTCAGAAGCTTTGCTTTGCTTCGTATACGTGCAAATATTGGCATTGTGCAAAATTATTTGATGCAGTGTTGGTACACCTTAATTATCCAGATCCAAGATTCGCTTTATCATCTTTTTATGGTTCACAATCAGTGGCCTCGACATGTAGAAGCAAGATGAAGAATAAAGTTTGGGTTTGAAATAAAGAATAGTATTTGGTAAAAAAAAAAAAAAAAAACAGACGACTTAATGTGAAGTTTGTCATTAACAACAAAGTCAAGTTTATTGCCGCTTATCAGTATATAGTGGTTTGTAAGATACACGTCCCCTTTTTTTTTTAATTTATTTTTATTTGAAGAACTAGAGAATATCATTAACCAGGGCCGAAGCCAAACAGGGATATAGAAAGCCACACGGGTTAACAACATTAGAAAAGAAACAGCACTAGAAGGGCAAGAACACGACATGGAAACAACATGTAACCCTTATACATACAAAACATACACTACAAATTGGACGGAGGGCAAGGGAGACCATCTTTGTTTAGGATATGAACAAATGAAGATGGGGGTCTACGAACCTAGACAAAGTCGCACATCTTCGCCCCAGTATATGACGCCACATAATCCGCCGCTTTGTTAGCTGATCTTAGCACCCAAGACCAGTCATAAGAAACAAAGGACCCATATTCGCTCCGTATCTTACCAAGAACAGGGAACAATTCCCAAGCCCCTTGCTCAATACATCCATTCAGCGATTCAATGATCCCTTTAGAGTCCGACTCAATCACAATGTGGGAGAACCCCATCTGTCTTGCCATGCAGCAACCTTCTAGCACTCCCAACACTTCCCCCAATTGGACAGTTATGGCTCTGATCCGCCGCCTCCTAACTGCCAAGCACTGGGAATCAAAGTCCAGAATCACCTCCCCAATATGGCAGAAGCCATCTACCTTCTTCCTGCTAGCGTCCACATTTACCTTTATGATCCCCGGAGGGGGAGGTTGCCACCCATATATGTTAGCCCCGCTAGAGTCCCGTTGAGCTCTATTCACTTGATCCGCCTCTAGGAAGATGGATTGATTGAACTCAATTGTAATAATGGTACGGGCTGGGGAAGGGATGAGAGATTGGAAGACACCCTTGCACCTGGCCTTCCAAATTTCCCAGCAAGTGATGGCCATGTATGACATAGTTTCTCTTCTTACCTTTCCACCGCCAGGAAGGCTCCGACAAATTGAGCCCAGCCAAGAGTGAAATGATGTAACCCTTCGCTTCTCCACCCTTAAACCCAACGGGCCACCAAACCAATCCTGATCCACCCACGGACATAGAATCAGTGCATGCTCGATAGTCTCCTCGTGCTCACCACAGAGAAGGCACACGGGTGAGGGCGCACAACACCGTCTAAATAGGTCTCGTTTCATAGTCGTCGCCCCCCTTAACGCATGCCACATGAAGTTCTTTACTTTTGGAGGGACCCATAAGTTCCATATACTTTTCCAAACCCATGAGTCAACTGGCAAAGAGGTGGACAAGCGAAGGTTGCTGGCTCGGTGGTTTGCAGCATGGATCTAGTGGTATCCAGACGGTGTAACGTCCCCTACTATTCGCTGGCCAAACTAATATGTTCCTTCGGTCTGCCCCACCAATTGGCGTATCAAAGATGGCCTGGTGATCTGCTGCTAAGACTTCCCTCTAAATAACAGCCAGCTGTCAGGACCTAAAAGATTGATAAAAAAACTCTGATACCCTCTTGTCAGGGTTTACCACCACCCCTTGAGCCGGGGATGGGTGTCTCAACCGCAAAGATAGAAGCCACCAATTGACCGATACTTTTGTACTCACACCATTCAAAATCTGCCAGAACGCATATTTGGAGATAATGTCCCGACCCGCCAACAGGCTGGCCTAAGCTTAGGAGGACCGGCCCCCTTTTCGAGCCTAAAAAATGAGCAATTCGGGAAATAGCGCAGCTTGATAACCCGGGCCCAAAGGGAGTCCGGGGAATGGAGAAGCAGCAAACATTGCTTGGCCAAAAGTGCTAAGTTAAACTTCTTAAGGTTTCGGAATCCCATGCCGCCCTCTTGTTTTAGTAGACCCAAATTTTCACGATTCACCTAATGTATCTTTCGTTCCCCCTCTTTTTGACCCCACTAGAATTTGGCTATTGTCGCATCAATATCATTACAAATATTATCCGGGAAACAGAAAATGTTCATTGGGTAGGCAGGAATAGCCTGAACCATCGCCTTTATCAACACTTCCCTATCGGCTTGAGATAAGAACCCCTGCTTCCACCCTTGAATCTTCGCCAAAACCTTATCTTTTACAAAAGCTAGAGCCTCATTCTTCAGACCTCCCCACACTGTTGGGATTCCCAAATACTTCCTCGGGTCCTGGACCTGCAGCATACCTAGGATGTTCACCAACTCATTCCGTAATTCCCCCGAGGTATTAGCACCGAAGGAAACAGATGATTTCTGCATGCTAACCTCCTGCTTCGAGGCAGTACAATAAGCCTTTAGAAGGTGAGTTATGTTCTGGCAATTTAACCGTGTTGCCTGGAAGAATATAAGCGTATCATTTGCAAACAATAGATGGAAAATACATGGGCTGTTCGTGCTCAACCTGATCCCTTCAATGAAACACCCATCCACTGCACCATTGATAAGCCTCGAGAGCATTTTTGTAACGATGTGGAACATATATAGAGATAAGGGATCTCTCTGCTGGAGCCCCCGCAACAGTTTGAACTCCCCCCTCGGTTGTCAATTCACTAGGACCGAAAAAACCATAGTAGAAACACATCCCATTACCATCCTTATCAACCTCCCACTGAATCTCATCTGAATCATAACCTCCTCCAAGAAATCCCATTCAATCCTATCATATGCCTTATTCATATCAATCTTCATAGCAAGCTCAAATTTTGTTTTCACTTTCCTAAGCTTGAGAAAGTGGAACACCTCATGAGCCACTAAAGTGTTATCTTGGATTTGCCTGCCCTCCACAAATGCATTCACGGTCGGGGATATGATTCCAAGTAACCATTGTTTCAATCTATTTGCCAACAATTTGGAAAATATTTTGTAAGTGTAATTACATAAGCTTATTTTCCTAAATTGGTTCACCGAGGATAGGTTCACAACCTTAGGTATGAGAACAATATGGATGGACTTTAACTTCCGCAGGATCTCACTTCTTGTGGCAAAATCATCTACCAACCCATTCACTTCTTCCCCAATAATATCCCAAAAGGTATGAAAAAAGACACCCTGGAAACCATTTGGGCCGAGTGCCTTAAAATCGCCCATTCGGAACACTGCCTCTTTTATCTCCGTCAAAGTAAATGACTCACACATCATTTCATTCATATCCTCTAACACCGATGGATGAATACGGTCAAGAACCTGACCCCAATCCTGCCTACCCCCGATGTATAGAGGTTAGTGAAGTGGTTGTTTATCTCTTGCTTAATTCCTTCACTGTTCTCCTGCCACTCACCCCTATCGTTCAGCAGCTTTGCAATTCTATTTAAGCACCTTCTTTGAATTGTGGTCTAATGGGGGAAACGAGAGTTTGTATCTCCTTCCTTTAGCCATTTAACGCGGGACCATTGTCTCAAGAATAATTCATCTCGTTCTTCTAACTTTTCAATGTTGGCAACAGTGGCCCTAATCTTTACCTCATTAACCTTTCACTGATCTTGGAGATATCCCAGCCGAGTTGACAAAGAGATAATTTCCTCCCTTGTGCTCCTAAATTTACTCTTACTCCACCGCTTGAGATTCTCCTTGCATGAGTTCTGATGTCGCAACTACCTCTCAACCCTACCACCCTCCTTCCGCCAATCCAACTCTACTCCACCACCCCTACATCCCTCATCCTTGGCCCAAAATGCCTCTAAATTGAAAATGGTTAGGCAATGGTTTGACCCCCTCACATTACCATGACTAACCGATGTCTCCGGCCATCGGACCTACCAGCTACCATTCACTAGCCCTTTGTCCAACCTTTCTTGCACCACACCGCTACTTCTATTCCCCTTCTAGGTAAACTTTGGGCCACTAAAACCAAGATCAATAAGCTCCATATTAGACATAAACTCATAGAGGAAACTGGGTCGCACCCATCTTGCTTGTCAAAATCCTATAAGGTTTCATTCAAGTCACCCCTACAGAACCAAAGGCTCTCTAATGGGGTTAATACGAAATACAGCCAGCACCAGAAATCTCTTTTCTCGGCTTTATAAGGAGTCTTGTAAATCCAGGATGCATGGATCCACTCCCCGCCTTCCGTACATCGAATTGCTGAATGAATAATATTTTTTTTTGCAAAAAGAATCTGCATCTTGGTTGACTCATGCTACCATAAGCTCAACCCCCCCCCCCCCGCCACACCTACCAGAGGAACATTAAAACCCCTGTTGAAACTTAGTCTCCTTCTAATTCCATCTAATATATGGCATTTCATTTTTGTTTCAGAAGAAATACCACAAAAGGTCTGTGTTTCCTTATTAGCCCATGAGACTGCCATGTCCGACCCAAGCCCACGACAGTTCCACAGGATATAACTCATGGTGATTTTGAGGCTGTATTGGGCCAGCCGTCACCACCCTGGGGTTTTTTTTTTCACCTCTTCGAGCCCTGAGTTCCTCCATTTCAAATCTTGATGGCCCGTCCAAGTAATCCCAAATATTATCTTCCTCTCTAATCGGGACATCTTGTAAAACCTCCTTCGCCATAATAGCCTTCTCAATCGCGGACCATTGTTCCCTTAGAGGCATGCCATGAAACCTACTCTTTTTTTTTTGCCCCGAACCTTTGAGCCACTTTCAATCTTTTTCATCTTCCCCGGGCACTGACCTACCCCTTGTTCCCTTCCTTTATCATAATTTCTCTTTAGACCCAGCCCCACAAACGAACTTCTCACCAGTTGGGTGTTTGGATTTGAAAAAATATGGGCCTTAATTGCACCACCGCTAACATCTCCACCACTAGATTCCTATATGGCTGGGCATTCTACTGCCAACTGGGCCGAGACTGTAGGTAGGGAAGGCCTCGAGCCCACCCCATTTTGAAGCACCTCCTAAGCCTCTTTCATCCCCTCATTCTTCATCTCAGGCCCATTGTTTGTGAACGGCCTACTCTCAGTCATTGGGTCTACCTTCTCAATCTCTCTGATTATGACCTCCTTTGTAGTGTTCGACTTACCACATGTCCTTCCCCTGCCATCATAAATTGTTAGGACCTACTTGGGATAAGACCTCTTAGTGAAACTTTAAAACCCATCTCTGTTGTCTAACACCATAGTTTCCCACTATGGAATTATCAGTCTCAAAGATCCTTGTATTGTGTGCCCTTTTGCTAGCATCCCTTTTAATTTCAGGCTCGCCTCTTCCCGACGCTCTTATCCCACGCGCCGTGGTGTTTCTTTCTCCCTGAACATTCATCTATCCCGGCCCTCGGTCCTTCACTGCCCCTGCGTATCAACATTCCCCCGGATTTATCAAGCTTCCTCGAACACTTTCTAGGGCATCGCGAGGTCGCTTTGCACACATCTAGTCTCCAAACCCTGCCCCGTTACTTCGTAACTATGGACTTGAGCACTAGGTATTGACATGCCCGATTCGTCCACATTTATAACAAAACTCCTAAAGGCATTCATATCTGAATTCTATCTAGGAGTCAATGTCCCCCGCCCGAGGCATCCAGCAGCCTGCCATAATAGGCTTCGAAGTATCCACCTTCACCTTTACCTTCAAAAAGCCTGTGGCACGGTCTAGACTCTCAATCTCTAAGAATGCCCCGACCTCTTTTGACAGTTTCCTTGCACTAGATTTCGTACACAGGTTTAGAGGGAGACCATTAATTTGTACCCAAAACGGTATCAGCTATAGTTTGATATCCTCCAACACTAACTCATAGGGCCACCTCTTGACAGAAAAATTCTTATTCATCACCCCAAGGCACTAGATCGATAATATGGTCTGTAGTGTCTTCATCTTTAACAATAATAATGAAGGTGTTCCCTTGGACCAATTGATTTTAACCTCCCCATAGTCATTCCAATCACTTCTTATATTTCTGACCCTCTACTTGTTCAGAGGCTGACTGTTAAGCACTGCACCCACCAACTTCACCCCTTATTCCATATTCGACAAATTCAAGGTATCTTTTAG